ATGCCAGCCCCAATCCATCGGTAGGATATATATTATATTGCTAAAGAAATCACTGTTACCATGTGGAGCTTGGGCACGTCATCATGGAGTGGCAAAGCGTCATTGTGATATTTCTGAGGCAGTGGATGCATTCATACCAACATTGAAATATCCTGATGCAAATAAAGGTACCTGTCTACTATTGCAACCAAAGAAAAATTACGAGTGTGTTTTTCTATTTTTTTATGTTTTTGATAATGTAAAAATATTTCAACTAAAAAATAGAAATAGGTTTTTTCAATCCTTAGAAACTTCTATTTTATTTTTTAAAAATGGAACTATTTTTAACACGTTTTTACCATCAATAATAATAAAAAACAGTTATTTTATTACCTTTATACATCGCCCGAATTATAACCATTGTTTTATTTTAATCATTATATATTATTTTCATTCAGACAAACATTAGAAAAATAAAACAAAATGTTCTTTTGGTGTCTACTACGCTCAACATAGCTTGAATATGATTACTTTTAATAAAAAGATACATGTATGACAAAAAAAACTAATAATATTAATTTATTTTGGGTTAAGGTGTATTGTTACTCTTAAACTATTTTTCGAAAAGCATCCAATATCCTAAAATATTTGTCCACTTAGTTACATTTAGCATAACAAGTAGTATTTTCAGTCAAACTTAAATTTTAGTCAATATTTTTAATGATCAACATTGATATATTTAAGATCAGGAAAAAATATGTTATATTTTAATTATTTTATATGAGAAATTGTTATAATAAATAGTTTAAAATACTAAATATTTTTCAAAAAATAATTTAAGAGCAAAAATGTATCGTAACCCATTTATTTTCATGTTACACGCCACATCATTTATTTCATTTCATTTTTTATTTCCTGATTCTTTTTCATAAAAGCACATGTGCGTATCTCACATGTAAATGATTTTTGAGGGAAAAATAATTAAAAATAGGAAGCATGGATTTTACTCCATATCTGATTTTTCCTTTTCTGGTATGTTGACAAGGGAAAAAAAAAAAACTTTACTAGAGTTAAGATTAGATGAAGATAAGTACATCTTGGGCAGAGTAATAACGTTTGAATTTTTGTTTTTTTAATTACTCATATGTATTTTTAGGAACCGGATCCTCTCAGCGTCCGTGTCCCTCAGCGTCTCTCAACGTCCGCATCCTGACCGTCCAGATTAGCAAAACACTTCCAACACACAATCATATGCAGGCTTTTAAAAATGCAAATAAATTGTTTGTTTTTAAATAATAAAAAAAAGCATTTTAAAAGATCTTGCAGGAACAGGAAAAAGTCAGAACAGGCTAACTTTTAATTACATAAGCTAAGTTCATTCATATAAATAAACTTAATTGTAAACTTAAAAATTAGACTTTTTTGTTAAACAGGTTGGCCAAAATTTAAAAGGATTATCCTATACATCTCTACAGGCCTATTTAATTATTTTAATATTTTAATAAAGTTTATTTTAATTTAATTATAATATTATATATATATATATATACTTATATAAATATAAGATACAAATATAAACAGATAGGTCTACAGGCCAGGCTTTAAATAAATAAATTTAACTTATTTACTTAAACAGGCTTGATTGAATGACTCGTTTTTGACCTGTTTAATTAAAAATTAAATTTAAATAAATAAATTTGACTTATTTACTTATGGTTAGGTCTATTTATGTGAATGAACTTAGCTTATGTAATTAAAAGTTAGCCTGTGCTAGCCTATTTCTATTCCTGCAAGATCTTCTAAAATGCTTTTTTTATTATTTATAAACAAACAATTTATTTTCATTTTTAAAAGCCATATGATTGTGTATTGGGAGTATTTTGCTAATTTATGTGAACACTAAGAGGATCTGATTTTTTTTATTAGATATAATTATATTCAAGACAAGGTCAGGCACCTTTCCCAACAAAAATTCAAACATTAGTTCACTACATTATGAAAAATTAACCCTTTTCACTAGATTCAATACTTATTGATTAATAATATTTGAATTTGATTTAATATGTTGAGAATTAGGGTACAATGGGCCAGCCGAGCCCATTCGTTAAATGTTATTGGGTTGCACATAGTGTTTGATCACGTGGTATCTGGTGTTTTCTTGGGTGTTTAATTCTTGTTCTTGATTCTTGTTTATTTGGGCTGTGTGTGTGTAGTTGTTAGCCCAGCTTGAGATCCGAAGTCACAATGTGGCTTTGCCACTTAATCTGTGGTTTATCCTTTGACCCAAAAAAAACTTGTACTGTTAACCAACAGGGTTGAATTTAATAAAAAAAAACTAATCTTTCACAACATAATAAATTAAAGTTCAAATTTTTATTAAGAGAGATATTTACATTTAATTTCCGATAATTCTACAAACAAAATTACTATAAGATGATATTTGTGAGCAGAAAAAAAAAATTTACAGTTTACCCCTGTGGGTTGTTTAATCCAAGAGTATTGTTCAAGTTGATATTGGTTTTCTTATATAATATAGAACTGAATAGAAAATATTATATTAAAAAAAACTTAAGTTAAAGTATTTACCTACATAAGCTTTATCCATTAATTTAGATATACAAGACTGAGAATTGGAAAAGAATAGAAGCTCGAGATGAAATTCTAGTTTGTGTGTGTCTATATATGATTTACATGAAGAATCATTAATGAAATTGCCTAACATTTATCCCTATTTGCTTGAATAGGAATCAAAAGAAAAGTTTAAAAAAATACGATTTAATAGTTCCTATATGAGTTATATGTTCTTTGTTAGGCTACGTGTCATGTGTGTTTTTGTCATGTCAAGGTTTTTTCCTTTTGTGTGTGTTTCTGTGTTATGTGTGGGATGTCAAGTCCAATTACAGACATTCATCTAGATTAATTGGGCTTTATGCATTATTATTTTACCCTTAATATAGTTGATTTTATTTTATAAAATATATAAACATTAACGCAATTTTTTTGTCAAGCAATTAAATAAAGCAAAAACTTTGTTGATTGTAATTATAACTCCTGTTTGAATAAATATAATGCAAAAGAAACAACATCTTACATCATTTGAGAGGTATGTTAATAATGCATAACTCCTAATAAAATTTGATAGATAAATTGGATAAATTTCGATTAAATAATATAATAAATATAGACTAATCAAAAGTTATCCAAGAAGTATCAACCATGCAAAGCTCTAATTAAGCCCGGAGAATACAAGTTAGGTTGGTCGGGCTATCTGTTTAAACTCATTTTTTTAGGCTAGCTCAAGCTTTAAACATTAATGTAATTTTGTATAAAAGAGCTTATGAGCCATGAAAGAAAAATTAGCTCAGACCCATGTTACTTGCTTCAGTCTGTATTTATTTTAAACCTGAAAAATTGAGATATTTTAAATTTTTTTATTGAATTTTAACTTAAGAATATATGTTTGTATTTTGAAATTAGCATTTATATTACTTATTTTCATTTTAAAACATTATCATTTGTGCTTTAGATAATCTATATGTAGTATTATAATGTCATATTCAATTTTAAGAAATTTAAAAAAATGAAAAAAAAAACTTCCAAACTTGACTCTAAAATTCATTAACAAGAACCAATCGGACTTAAAAAAAAAAATCAAGGAAAAAAAAGCTATAGAACCCGAGCTTTAATGAACTAAGCCCCATAAAGCAACGAGTGTGGCCAGTTTTAGCACATGAGGATGACGAGTTCAATAATATTAAAGTCTTATATTAATTATAAACTAATGCTTGTCACTTGCATTTTGGAAAGACACGGACATTTATATAGTTTTGATTATTTTCTCTGATTCAAAATATAAACAGCTCTTAGCAATAATTTATATATAAATAAAATTCATATTCGCATGAAAATATATATATTAATTATAAAATAACACTTGTCATTTGCATTTTTGGAAAGATCACCACACATTAATATAGTTGTGATTAATTTTTTTAATTAAAATGTAAACAACTTTTAACAGTAATTTGTATATAAGTGAAATTCATATTTTAATGAAGATATATATTGTTTTTTTCTTCTTACCCATAATCCTTAATGGGAAAAACTTATATATATTTGCCTTATATACTTAATATGCTAGTATTCAATTAAATCAAAACATGTGGATCTTTTATAAACTATTTTTTATAAAATAAATTCTTGTTATTAATTAAATTAATACATAAAAATCGATTCACATGGTATGATTTAATATAAGTATATTAAGTATATAATGCTAAATACATAAATCTTGTCCATCTCCAATTACCAGCGATGAGTGAGAAAAATATCATCCATTCATACAAGAATTAATCCATGTTAATAAATACCATAGGTAAAATTAAATGAGAAAAAAAATTCTATAACTATTAAGTTACTTATATTTTAGACTAAGATTTGCTAAAATAAAAGACTTATATATTTTGGACTAGAGGGGAGTAATTTTCTAATCTTCACTCGACGTGAGACTATTTGTTTAGAATAAATATGAAATTTTACTCACCAAAGCATTTGATAGGTTATAAAGCCAATTGGATTAAGTGATTAAAGAGTCGAGCCCAATCAACAATCTAAACAAAGGGGATAGTACTGAGCTCAATGAAAAGCCACAATAGGATGAGTATGTTGAAATTCCGCCAGTTACAAACCCATTCTGTGGACCGTTGGTGCATAAAGACATGATCTCAAATGATCTCGAATCTCGCGGGAACATCATCGTGCCCAAATATCTTAGTAAGATAAGCTAGTTACCAAAAATGGAAGATAGCAAGTAAAGACCATGCCATGAGTCTCACAGTATTCATGATTCTTTAGAAGAATATTCTAGATTCTAAGGAAGAGGCTGCCATCACACTATCACTATAAATAGAGTACCAAAGTGCAAAAGAAGACAACAATCAACACTCAAAAAGACTCACATTCTACACTCATAATTCTTAAATTTATCGTTTAGCTTTATCTTCAGTTTAGATTTATAACTATTTTACATTTCAATAATAATCAAAACATTTGTTCTATCAAGTCTTGCGTATATTTTACATTCAGGTAAACTGTGGTAAGGAAGTTCGAGATTCTTTTATTATCAATTGAGATTCAACATTTCTGTCATACGTGATAACTTGTTGTTCGCAGATAAATACTATCATACATACATTTCATACAATATGACAACCTTTGGTGGCGACATACAACAACATGAGGTGATGAGAGACCATAGAATCACAACAAGGGGGACGGTAGAGGGCATCAACTTGAGAACATTGGCTTTCACAACATATCAGAGAGGTTGATGATGGCGTTGATCGCCAGTAATGGAGAACGAAAGCAGATATGACGCTGCTGAAGGTTCCAACTGGGTGGAGCATCTTCAACCATCTGAGAAAAATAAAAGAATGATAATTGAGTTGAAAAAATTGAATTAATGATAATTAAGTTTGCGACAAAATTATCTCTAAAATGATATGCAAATTTGAGTTCAAACAAGGTGCAAATTAATATATAAGTCGTTTAAGTTTCAAATGTACCTCTAAATTTGCAATTGGGATTTTTGTTTGCAAGACTATCTAAATCAATATTTATAATGCATGATTTTTTAGAATTTTTTTCATAGGCTTAACAGTTATTAATCCATTTTTTTTGCAAGTACTAGAAATCGGATGAGTCATTAATTGAACTGATTAAAACAATAGTTCAAAAATTGATGGTCAAAAAAGTAGTCAAACTGTGATCAGACTATTTATGAAGAAAACATTTCATCAAACCAATTTGTGCACAGATTCAAACAATTTATTGGTTTAACCAGTCAAGTAGATCTGGTTTTTAATCCTATTTTTTTTAGAACTTGAATGCCATTCCCCAAAATGCAATACCCATTCTCTTTTACGAAGTAATACAAACATGGTTTGAAACTAAATGGGAAAAACACTAACCAAACACTTACACGAGATGGCTTTACATAAGGATTACAGAGTGTTATTATAATAGGCATCTCACAGGGAAATGATTTTTTGAAGAAAAAAATAATTTAAAAGAGGAAGTATTTCACTTATATTTGATTATACTTACCAGCTTTCTCTTCTCAAATAGATACTTTTAATGTTTAGAATGTGAGCAAAACCAATATGACCCATCAACTTTGAAATTTGACTGTCCAGTCCACGATCCTGCACATTTAATTTTCTGATAATTAGCCACCATTAATTGCTCATTGATGGAAAAATAATATCCTGAGTTCAATTTAAATATCAGAATGATTTATATTTATAAATGAATGAATTGCACATACAAGAGTCTTATACAATAAGAATCTCAACTCAAAATTTTCTATATGTTTGGCATGTTGACAAGAAGAAAATGAACTTCGCCAGAAATTTATGATCATATATAAACATAAATACATCTTTAAGAGAGTTAACTGGAGGCTGATAATATTCAAATTTTACTTAATAATATAAAACCAGATATCAAATATCACATGCCAAAAAAAAAAAAAACTTACATTTGAGTATTCATCTGCAGAAGATTTAACCATCATCCATTGCTTCAGAACTACAAGAGGAGAATTGGAGAAGAATAGGAGAAGCTTGAGAAGAAATTTTAGCATTGGATATATTTGATTTACATGGAGAATCACTGAGATTGCTTGACATTTATAGGATCGTGGTGAAGGGGGTTGTTGAGCCACACTAATTAAATTAACATTATTTATTGCAATTATAATTTTTTTAATAAATATATTGCACAAGGAACAATGTTACAGATAATATTATAGTTGTCAGCCATGCAAGACTCTAAAGGAAAATTTGTCTGAAACATATAGTAAATTTTATTAAAATAATATAATAAATATATAATATTCAAATCAAATGTTATTCAAGAGGCGTCAAACATGGAAAGCTCTAATTTAAATTAAAATTTGATACAGAAAAGTTATTAGCTGTGCTTGAATAATAAAATAATATGATTAACATAGAACAATTACGTTATGCGTATATATGACAACGGTCAACCACGAAAAGATTTAATTTAAATTAAGTTTGATACAGAAAGGCAATTAGCTGTGCTTGAATGATAAAATAATTCAATTGACATAGAACAATTATGTTACGTGAATATTTGACAACGGTCAACCATGAAAAGATTTAATTTAAATTAAAGTTTGATACAAAAAGACATTAGCTGTTTTTGAATGACAATTATGTTATGTGTATATTTGACAGTCAACCATGCAATGCTCTAATAAATTAAAATTTGATACATAAAAGCCATTGCTTGTATTGAATAATAAAATAATATAATTGACATATAATAATGACGTGTATATTTGACAATTGTCAACTATGCAAGGCTTTACTTTAAATTAAAGTTTGATACAGAAAGGCCATTAGCTGTGCTTGAATAATATAATCATTACTAAAAAAATGTAAATTAGTGAAAAAATTTAGTGAGAGATCATTTATTTCTCTCTAAAATACCAAATTAGTGAGGGATATTAATTTTATAGCTCGACTTAAAATTAGTAAGGATAATAGCTAGGAACTATTAATTCCTCTCTAAAATAAGAGAATTTGTGAAAAAAATAGTGAGGGACTATCAATCCTTATCTAAAATAAGAAAATTAGCAAGAAAAATAGAGAAAGACTGCCAGTCTCTCTCAAAAATAAGATAATTATTGAAGGATTCTATCCCTAGTTAATTACTGTAAAAAAATTAAACTTTTAGCAATGACTTCTAATTATATATTTAATTATTTTCATTTAAAAATAAAATTTAAATTTAAAAATTAACTAATATATTCATAATAAAATTATTTAACATTTAATATTTTCTTTATTTTAAGTTGATTTTCATTATAAAATAATATTTTATTAAAAATATAATATACAAGATAATTTAATAAAATATAAATACTTTTAACATATTAATAATTAAAAATAAAATTTAAGGAGTGTGTGCGTGTTTTTATAATATATTATTTAATATATTTATGTAGTTAAATAATATATATTTAATTTCTCATATCATAACAATAGGCGACTTTCAGTTCAACTGACAAAGAAGAAGAGCATAAGATTCGAAAGGTAAGAGGTTAAGGGTTTAAATCTTGAATTTTGCATAAATATAATGAACATGTAACATGGTATAGAGCAAGTGACATGGTGCAAAGTGAATAATGACATGTCATAAGTTGTTGCACATGTGGTGAGTAATCGGGCATGAGATGATAGATGACATGGCGATTGATGATGCACAAGTTTGTTGGTGGTGACATGTCACAAGTTGACACACACATGGTGGGTGATGTGTCATCCCTATTTTTAAATATAAGCATATTTAATGAGGGATTAATCCCTTTCTAAAATAATTAAAAATAGTACTAGCGAGTGATTAGCAAGGGATGTAGCCCTTGTTAAATTCCTTGATAATTAGCGAGCCCTTTTTAAGTTATGAATTCAGCGAGGGACAAAATCCTTCACTAAAACGTAATTTAGTGAGAAAAATGGCATGTCCCTAGCTAAATTTCTTTTTTTTTAATAGTGAATAATATAATTTATATAGAATTATTACATTACGTGTATATTTACCAATGATCAACCTTGCAATGCTCTAGTCAATTAAAATTTGATATAGAAAATCAATTAGCTGTACTTGAATAATAAAATAATATAATTATCACATAATAATCATGTGTATATTTGACAATTATCAACTATGCAAAGCTTTAATTTAAATTAAAGTTCGATACAAAAAGGCCATTAGCTGTGCTTGAATAATACAATAATATAATTAACATAGAATAATGATGTGTATATTTGACAATCGTCAACCATGCAAAGCTTTAATTTAAATTAAAGTTTGATACAAAAAGGACATTAGCTATGCTTGAATAATAAAATAAATAATTGACATAGAACAATTTATGTGTCTATTTGACAACTGTCAAGCATGAAAAAGCTTTAATTTAAATAAAAGTTTGAGATAGAAAGACCATTAGAGGTGCTTGAATAATAAAATAATATGTTGGAAAAATAATAATAAATTAACATAGTTGGCAGAGAATAATGACATGTGTATTTGACAATTCTCAAACCATGCAAAGCTTTAGTTTAAATTAAAATTTGATACACAAATGCCATTAGTTGTGTTTGAATAATGAAATAGTATAATTAACATAGAGCAATGACATATATAATGGACAATTGTTAACTGTGCAATGCTCTAATTTAAATTAAAATTTGCTAGAGAGAAGCTATAAACTGTACTTGAATATGATAAAATAATATAATTAACATAGAACAATGATGTGTATATTTGACAATTGTCAACCATACAAGAATTAATTTAAATTAAAGTTTAATACAAAAAAGCCATTAGTTATGCTTGAATAATAAAATAATATAATTGACATAGAACAATTATGTGTATTGTTCATGGTGAACAGTAAATACCAGGTGTGCCAGAGACGCTAAGTCTCAATTGATAATAAAAAGGATCCCAAGCTCCCTTACCACAGTTTACTCGAATGTAAAAAGATACAAGACTTTGGTAGAACAAGTGTTTGATTTTTATTGAAATGTGAAAAAATTACAGACCTAAAATTAAAAACTAAAAAGGGCTAACAAATGTAAAATTGCGAGTCTTTGATTAAGTGTTGACTAGTTTCTTCTGTATCTTCTTCTTCTATTTATAGTGTTAGAGTAACAGTAGCCTCTTCTATGAAACTTAGCATGTTTTGTCGAAGAATTAGGGATCTCACAAAACTCATGGCATAGTCTTTATTTCATGCTCTCTATTTTGGTAACCAGCTTGTTCCACCGAGATACTTAGGCGTGAGGTCTGTAGATTTTGGCATTACTTAAGATCGTATCTTTCGAGCCAACAGTCTAATATTTGCAGCTGATGGGATTTTAGCATATTTATTTATTGTGGCTTTTATTGAGCCTCGGGATCGAGCCTTTTCGTTTATATTGGGCCTGACGCTTCAATTACTCAGCCCAACTAGTCTTGTGACCTATTTGAGTGACGTTTCATATTTAGCCCAAACAATGCCCCCCGCATGCCAATGGCTAATAACGTAAGCCATATAGCATGTTCGAAAAAACTGAAACGTCGCTTCGTTTTTGAGCGCCCTTTGCTAATATAAACTCATTTCTTTTTTTCTGGTCACTTCTCTTACCCTTTCTGTCGTTTCTTAAAGTTCAAGCATTCACTCTTCTACATCCTTCTTACCTTAGCTCTCAAATAGCTTCCTCCACTTTTGTCGCTTCTTCTATTACCGCTCCATCTTCCACCTCTGCTAGGAGTTTGCTTGATTCTCTAGTGATTATCCAAAATCTCGTTACCTTACTCGACAAGTTTGTGACGGTACATATATAGTGGTCTGAAAACCTTTTTTTCCCCTTAGATTGGTTCCTCATTCTAATAGTTGTTCATTTTCTTTATAGGAGGATTCTTCATTCCATGAATCAGTGGCTTTTTGGTAAGTTTCTCGCTTCTCATGTTTTAGCCCTTTTATTTTATTGGAGAAGTATGCTAACTGTGCTTTGTTTTTCCCCAGTACTTCTCGTTAGAGCTTTCAAATCTCCAATAAAAGTGATGTCGGATACCTAACTATCTCTCCCAACTTGTCCGAAGTCACAGCCTATACTCAGCCAAATCTATGGCCACTAACCTCCATTCGTGACTTGGTCTTAGCCCGGACGACTTCACCCTTCCCCCAGTTGTCCTTTAGAAAGCTCAGGAACTAGCCTCGGTCTCCTCGCGCTTGGGTCAACTAGGTGAGGCGCTTAAAGTCAGAGTATGTGCCTCAGTAGAAGGAAATGGGTCTTTACAACCTGATTCAACTATCCCTGGGCATAAGCTTGTACGTGCATGTGTTTTCTCTCCTTCCTTTCTGTGCAGCCTAGAGGAGATAAGGGTCAAAGCTCATGTTTGCTTCTCTGTATCCGTCTCTTCTCTTTGCCTGTGTGAGTCTATGTATGCGTGTTCTCTTTTTTTCCTACCCTCTGTGTTTTCTACTCTGTCTTTCTTCCTTCTTACGTGCGTGACCAACGTTTCTGCTCTATAAAGCTCCTGCGTCTCTGGTCAAAAGTGTTTTGTGTGGCTGTGTGGCTATATTTCTATACATGCGTATGCTCTTTGCTCTTTGTTTTTTCCTTTCTACGTTTCATGACTTCTCTGCTCGTGTTTCCGCAAATAGCCTCTAAGGCTATAATAAAACGCTAATGGATCAGCATTTCATCCAGCCTATTATAGCTATATATTTTTACTTCTAATTTTTTTGAATAGATTAACACACATATATTTTTTTTAAAATAAAAAATAAAATTTAAGAAGAGAAAAGTTAACTCTCAAAAGTTGACTCCCAATATTTTTTGAATGAATAAGATAATTTGAGAGAGATTTTAAAATATTTAAACAAGATTTTTTAATTTTTTTTTAAATTATTATTATTATTATTATTATTGTTTTGAAAATATAACCCTAAAAAGGATTAAATTTTTTTTTTGTATTTTTATATATATTTTTGGTTATTTTAATGAATTAAAAGAAAAACAAAATCTTAATCAACAAAAGATTATCTAGGATAAAATAAAATTAAACCCT